AGGCCTTGATCCTTCAGTTCCTGTCTCTCCTTGAAGTATGATCATGAATGTGTGGGAACAGGGGGAAGTGCAAAGGTTTTCTTCATGGTAATTTTTATTAAACTGTTCTTCAGTTTTTTGTTTTCATACCTAGCTCTATGTGGGATTCTATGCTTTTAATTGGTTGCTTTTAACTAGCTGCTTTTTTTTTTTTTTCTCCTTAAACATTTTTTATTCTTTATAATAAAGGTCTTAAAATCAAAAGTCTCTCCCTCCCTCCCATATATATGTCAACTGCAATATCTAGGCTTTTAAAATGATTATGGTTTCTACACAAGTAACAAAGACAACACAACTTCATTTATTTATAACATGTGGCTAGATATGACAATTCACAGACTTTTTGCATTTTAAACTGGAACCACAACAAAAGGAAAATGCTAGAACAGACTTCTTTGTTCTAGTTTTATTTGACAACGTGTGTGTGTGTGTGTGTGTGTGTGTGTGTGTGTGTATGTGTGTGTGTGTGTGTGTACACACACACACACACACACACACACACACACACACACACAGTATCAACATACAGTGACCAGAGAAACAGAGTAAGCATTAATTTTACTGAGTAATTTCTTCTTATCAGTATTTTTTTTTTTTTTTTTTTTTTTTACAGGCATAGGTACATCTCAGAGCTGGCTACCTACACAACTTTATTCTAAAGCACTTTTATGAGGAAATGTTATTGAGAGAATAAGACTGCTGCAATAACAGGTTTGAAGATAAGATAGCCTAATAAAACAATTGTAAATTGAAATCAACAAATAAGAATTTCAGTGTTTTCTAATAGTATGAAGGAATCCTGAGGCCTTACCATGGACAGTGGTGATCCATTCTCCGAACACAGTGTCCACAGCGACTACAGTGATGTGAACGCTTTGGTCTCATCATATTGCATTTGTTACATAACTCCCAAAATTCCCGTTCTAGAAAAAAAAAAAAAACGGGTTAAATGAACGGTTGCTAAAATGCAAACAAGGTTATTTGAGTAAATGTGATCTCTTTTATTAGACCAACCGAATAGCTGAAAAAATTGTGCTTTGCAAGCTTCTGGGAATGTTTTAATATTTTTATACATACATACATACATACATACATATTTTATACACACACACACACACACACACACACTTGATTTTCTGTGGAAAAAATATTTTTCCTGCTATTAGTATCAGTGAGGATGACACTAGGAAATCAACAAGCAAGCATCTCTTCCCGTATTTTATCTCTGGTATAACAGGGTTAGTATAATTGTGTTACCTATCCTACAATCTGGGCTTATTTCTGTTCCTATTTTTTATCCTACTCTCTTTGTAGTAGGGTTGGAGCACAAAATATGTAAGAAGTAAAGGTATTTTGATATCTTTTATTGGACATCCAACATCTCTTTCAGCCATACAGTTAGCCCAATAAAAGACCTTACTAAATAACCCGTCGTACTCCCCTTCACAGTCACTAAGACAACATGAAACCTCTGGCAAAAACTGGGAAGTAAGCATTTCTGTTTCTGAAATTAGTCTTACTTTACTTCCACTTGGATATTCTTTAAATGAATCACCAAGAGCATCTCCTATCAGACACAAAACTGACCAGTTAAACAAAAGACAAAGCAAACATTTCTGACCTGTCTATCATCTGAGGCACAGTAAATTTTAAACAACTACTGTAACACGCCACAAAGTAGGAATTTTCTAGACAGAACAACAGAAAGACATAGAAGACAAGGCTCATGTTTCAGAGGCATATACTAAATTTGGGTTCCCAGCCTGAGACATCTAGGGGCTGATTTTTAGAGATATTAACACCTATAAGTCCAGCTGAAGTCACTGTGGTCTTTCAATGCTCAACATCTCCAAAACACAGATGTTATTTGCCCTGAGTCCAGTATTCAAAATCAGTGGACACTTGTGAAACCCACAGCCACAGTGACTTGGCCAAGATCATGTTGCTGCCAAGGTAATGGGAAATACTATACTGACACCATGATGATATTAGTCATGTAAAATATACTTTACTTCTTCCTTTTTTCTTAGTTTACGTAAAGATATATGCTATAGAAGAAGACCAAAAGCACCGATTGTCAGTTCCTGAAATATAATTAAATGCCATAATTTTTTCCTTAGTTTTTTTTAAATTCAGGGAAATCAAATATGCTTCATAAACCAAAAGAAGCTTCACAGTTTTCATCAAGGAATTTTTTGAAAGTTTATATAGGAAAGTAATTTTCACTATGTATGGAAAAAAATTAAATTAAAACTGGCACTTCTGAGCCTCCTGCTGGCAGCTCCCATCTTTCCCATCTTGCTGAAAAATGACATTTGCACGCTGGCAATATAGAAGCCCAAATATCCGAGATCATTAAACTAGTAATAATGCCAGATGGAAAATGATTTACAATCTGTTCCCATAAAACCAGTGTCACAAAGGTGTCACTCTTTAATAAGATAGCTACCATTAACAGGAGGCTCAAAAATACCCAAAGCTAGTTTTCAAATACAATTTATACTATGCAAAAACGTATCTCACCATATGAGCCCACAAAATAGCACAGATCTGAAGTGATACCTAAATAAGGACTGAGACCACAAAATAGGACAAGTCACAAAAGCATTATCACAGTTGACCCTAATTGCACCCTCCTCCAAAGAGGCACTAAAATTAATGAAGCCTGGGGGACTGAACCATCCTCTAACCTAATAAGTTATCGCCAAGGAAGGGAAGAAAACCTATCAGCAAGAGACAATTAATGGGGAGAAATCTGCAGTGCTTTTTTTGCATGGAAATGAAAAAAGCACTTAATCTCCTACACTATAAACTGTTTAATTTATAATACAACAATAAGACAAAACGTGCGACTCCCAGGTAGTAAGTCAAAAACACTCTACGCTCTGTGTAGAAGTTGAAGTAAGTTGTCTAAGTGCATCAGCACTTAAGATTATTTTCAAGTTTTTAAATCTGAAATATCACCATATTTTCTTGGGCTAGATTGAAAGGCATAGTTATTAGGCGCATAGAAGACAACATTTGTATTTGGAAACACACTACGAGCAAAATTTCACCCACTTATCCAAAGGTCAAAACAAGAAGAAATTAAAATTAACTTCCATGTCTCCTTGTATTCTAGATGGCCTACTCTTGTTTACTAGTTGGTATAGCAGACAAACACCCATGCTTTTCTCTCCAAAACAATGCACCCAGGACAGCGAGTATTTAGAGAACAAACAAGTGATCAAACAGAACTGGTCACTGCTAGAGCAGAGGTTCCCAGTTGTGGGAGTACGAGTACCACCAGTGGTATGCAGACAACCTGTCAGTGGTACACAGTGGATTTATTATAATTAATTTACATGACAAAAATTTGTGGTGGTACTTAAGGTTGTATTGTTCTGAATTGGTTTGGGATGTCAGTGGGTGCGATAACTTATACAAAAATCTGGCAGAAGGGGAAATGGACACCATTGTGGATATAGTAAAATGCATTTCCTATAATTTAACTGGCCATGTGTAACCCTGTCTACACAAGTTGACTGGAATTTTCTCATCTCTGTTGAAGAACTTGTCTAAAATGTCCCACTATACTGCCTAAGCCAGGGGTGGGCAATATGCAGCCCGGGGGCTGGATGTGACCCACCAGGTCATTCTATCTGGCCCGTGGGACCCCTAAAAAATTTAGAAAATGAATATTTGTCTGCCCTGGGCTGCCTGTCATGCGGCCCTTGATGGCTTGCCAAAACTCAGTAAGCGGCCCTCTGCCCAAAATAATTGCCCGCCCCTGGCCTAAGCTAAGAATAACTGGACTATGCTCTCACTGAAGGAACTGCCTGGTGTTAGCCTCACTATGTCTGTCTGTTTAGGTAGCTGGACAAGGCAATTAGAAATCTAAAGCCCAATGCCAGAAGAAAGAAAGATTTTGAGCAGGGGTATCAAATTCATCAGGCCTTGGGGACCTAGTAAATGGCATGGAACTGGTATGCAGACTGGATTGGGCCTGCAGAATGGCCCTGCATGCTGGACCCAGTGCAGGTACCACATGCAACAAGTGCCCTAGACTGACCCCACACTCCACTTGCAGCATGGTGCCAATCCAACACACAGTGTATGTAGCATGTGGGTCCACTCCAAGACCCATGAGCAGCTCCACAGGCAGATATTTTACACCTGTGTCTTAGAGCAAATAAAACAGGGCACTAAAGACAACCTGCAAGTCCAGTACTCTGTAGTACTTAAGGAGCCCCAGTAGCTAGGAACAGAACGCTAAGGATGAAAATGGAGATATTACTTTGGATTCCTTTAACCTCCCCATTGAAGTAGGTGCAAGACAGCCATTTACACAGGAAGCTTGAATGTCAATTAACTAGAACCAGCACAGATTGCCCCAGGGGAAAAAATGTTATCTCAGTTCTTCAAGGGTACTTAAAGTGGGACAATGGGTTTGTAAATTTGTAGGGTCCCAGAATAAAAGGCTTTGCCTATTCTGGAGAAATTCAATGTCTACGTTTAGCCTAAGGTAGTATCTTCTAAACTTTTGCTAGCACATTCTAGAAGAGAACCCAGATGATATGCTAACTCTGCAAGAGGCCTACTCTTAGAAAGTGGAACCTTTTAAACAAGATAGGCAGACATGGTTCTTTGGGTAAATCTGATATCTTTTATTAGATCAATTTAAATAGTTGGAAAAAATTTTTAGCAAGCTTTCAGGTTTAAAAAACCTTCGTCAGGCCGAGGAAGTCTCTGCAGTTGGTGCAGGACTCAGCTGATACAGTCCAGTATTGCTGTGGGCGCTGTTTTCACAGTGGCAGGGGAGGAAGGGAGCAGAGGGAGCTCACTCTGCCAGTTGCCTAGCCAGCACTGGAGGGTGGGGTGGGTGGATTGGAGTCCCCGTCCCCCCCCCAAAGTAGGGGGCCTCCAATCCACTCCCCCAACCACTCCAGGGTGACTGGGGAAACCCCAGAATGGACTTCCCTCCTCTGCCTTCTCCCCCTCCCATCCCAAGACAAAACTGAAGCTAGGACAGGCAGGAAGCGGGGCTAGGGGGAAGAGACCGCAGAGATGCAGCCTGTTTCTGATGGATTCATTCAGTTTCTGATGAATCCTCTAACCGGTTTGCTCACTTGTTGTTCAGCCTTTGGTATTCCTAACAATTCACCTTGGGGACAACAGTGACTACCTTCTCATGATGTCTCTATGAGTAGCTGTAAAGTGAAACTAAGTCATTACCAAGGCAATTGGATTTTTGATTTTTCCAATGTTGATACGCACTTTCCAAGTATCAGTATTTTGATATACTAATTGCAGGATGAGCCAGAGCAACCTCTCCCATCTACAGAGGGAAAGCTTGACTGTTCTTCAACTTAACGTTGAAGGCTATACCTCACTCAAGCAAGGGAAATGAAACTGCGTGCAGTCCTTTTACAAGAAACATGTAGAAAGCGACAGCTGGGCAGACTGTGTAGCCAGCAGGATTCACGGCCTTGCTACCTTCATCAGAAATGACCTAGCATACCCTACCAGGAGACATAACACCTCTCACAGCGCAACAGAATGGCGTGCTGTCCAGGTCAGTGACATAATCAGCATGCTCTACCCTCTGCCATCTCATCAATCACATCCCCATTGATTTATGACCAGATGACCTTATACACAGGTGGCTTCAGTTGTCAACATCAGGACTGGGGATACTCTGTTAACAGTAGCAATGGAGACAATCTTTGTCTCTGGGCAAGCCTGAAGGTCATAACCCTCATATATAACCCAAAATAGCCACGTACCTTCCACTCTAGACATTGGAACATTCAGACAATACTTCAGATAAGGCCTCACCATGCTAAATAAACGGGAATAATCACTTCCCTTGACCAGCTAGCAACACTCCTACAATGCAGCCCAGTATGCCATTAGACATCTTGGCAACACTGTTGGCTCATATTCAGCTTACTGTCCACTGTTATCCCCAGTTCCTCTTCTGCAGACCTGCAGCCTAAGCCAGTCAGCCCACAGCCCATACCACTGCGTGGGACTGTTCTGTCCTAAGGGCAGGACTTTGCACTTGTCTTTGTTGAAGATTTCTTTTCGCCCAATCCTCCAGCATATCTACTACTCCCCACAGCCTGGTGTCATCTGCAAACTTGCTGAGGGTGCACTCTATGCCATCTTCCAGATCGCTAACGATCTTTCAGGTCATTCCATCATCTCAGCACAGACCCTCATCTATCAGCATTGACAAATGATTTTTCAGCCCACATCATCCAGACCAGCTCCAACATAGAACACTACCTTATCGGGTGATACTATACAGGGCAGTAATACAGCTGTATCTATCTTTATCTTGCCTCTCTTTGGACAAGGTAATAATGTCTAAAGTCAGACCGGCCAAGACCGTGTTAAATCACATTACCAGATTTGCTCAAAATAATCTCAGAATTTGTTTCTACAGAAAAAAAATCAGTAGGAAAACAGGGCACAGAATCATCCACCACCACAAACATATCTGTCTACCACAACCTCAGTCAGCAGTTAGTTCATGTCCATTTTCAAAAGCCTGGTGATCTACCCTGGCTTCAAAGTTGCTGTAGATCTGTGCAGCCCCTTTTGTTAGCAGCTTCATTTGTAGCAGCTCCATACATAACTGATATTTTGTACTTATTGCAGGTAAATCTTCCTCTGCCTCCTTATCCCTTTTCCAGTTTGTTAATGTCTGGTGTCTCATGGGCTACCATGATGCACATAAATAACATACAGGAAAGGAGAAAATAAAGGAAAAGGCACTGTTAATGTCAGCTTTATTGAGAGGAAGAGTTGCACATTGGCATCAGAAAAAAAAAAAAATGTTTTTTTTTTTTAAAAACCCTTGCATCATGCATTGTTCCAAAACCACTGATGTAACCATTCAGGAATATCCTATGGCAGCAGTTCCCAATCTGTAGTACAGGTACCACCAGTGATACCCAGACAACCTGTCAGTGGTACACATTAACAGATTTACTATTATTACTTTATATGACAAACATTTGCTGGTGGTACTTAAGGTTGTATCGTTTTAAAATTGGGGGTGCACAATCTGTCAGAGTTTGGGAGCCACTGTCCTCTGGTGATCCACCAAGGCCTGCCTCACCAAACATACTTCTTTCTTCTAAAGAACTATGCAGTTTGCGTAGTAACATAAAGAACAGGAATTATAAAGAACAAAAATATAGGTTGTTTAAAAAGCTGAGAAATTGCCTGATTTTTCTGAATAATTGGGCATGCTGTCTTTGAAATACACACTTTACAGCCTTGCACATCTTTAACACAAAAGCTCCAACCTTAGATTCACTGACTCCAATGGCTATTAGCATCTTAAGAACCAGTTAAGGATAACCAGCTTCCATCAGGTGCCTACCTCTCTTTTCTATGTTGTGGGACTGCCACCCTGATCTTGTGGCACTACAATAGTTTGAATAAGCTCACCAGACATGTAGTAAAATGTCTTTTCTCCTATCTGGTACCACCATTACATGGTTATATGCCTGGTCCGAAAGCACAGATGCCCATATTTCCCTTGAGCATCTTAAATGGTTTGACTATAACACAAATACTACCTACTTGGAGAAACTACCTGGCCGAAGCTCTTGCATAACAAATCATGCTGAATTGCTAGTTTGATAAAAGAATGTTTGTCCATACATAAGACCCCCATAGGCCAGATGAGGGATGCTAGGGTGGTCCACACCCACAGACCAGTCCCAGGTACTGGAGCCAGTGTGCGCCCTGGACTGGCCCCATATACTGCATAAAGCATGTGACAGCCCTGCAGGTTGGACCTGTGCCAGAATGGACCTGTGTGCGGGCCTAATCTAGGCCAACCTAACAGGCAGAGCCAATCTAGCCTGTGCCCCAAACACATGCTGCACTAGGCGAGTCTGAGACCCACAGACAAATCTGCTGGCCATCAATAAATTCTTTGACACCCTTGACAAGAGATTATAGTAAACATTATGCAGATTAGAGACAGTGACTTTAAAAAAATACCTAGCATTTATGGTCAATTTTTTTTGTTTAAATCTTATCATCATTTCAACTAATGAAAGATGTTGATGCCTTCTATCACCCCCAAGAGCACTGTGGTTTTTTTAAACAAATTTAAAGTAATCTAAACTTCTTTCTAGTTGGAAGTTATAATACTGAAAATATGATACACACGGAAGTACAACAAAAGCAGCCAATACCATGCTATTTAAAAACATCTTTCATACCTGTTAGTGGTATCTTTGGGTTTTCAGGTAGTCTTCCTGGATCAGCTACCGAAGATCTCAATAACGAAACTATACAAAATAGTGAGCATAAGTAGTAGCCTGAAAAATAAATCCAAAATCATTCAGAATGACTCCAGCCGAAGACATGCATTAGTGTGTGTCACATTAATCAGTTCAAGCAAAGCAAATGATCACTTTATAGGAATAAGGCATGGCAGCATGCAATTAATGAAAAAAAATGAAAACTGACAAAATAATTAGCATACTGAAAAGTAAATCAGAATTAAACTTTCAATTTATTTAACAAAAGAAAAACAGGATCCTATCCTGTTTATTCATACTGTACACACACACACACACACACACACACAGAAATATTATTAAAATCAAGCACTGAAAGGTAAAAAATGCCAAAATTAAGGTGGTCACTGCAACCTTAATTCAGGCCCATTGTGCATATAGATTATGATCTAGTTTTGAATGACATAATCATACAAATTTGTTTCTAGAAGATCCACACCTCACTGAATGGAGAAAATAAGAGGGTTCTCATTTAACAGGTAGCTTTATATCTAATTTCACAGGTTATTAATGCAATAAACCTAACTAACTCCCCCTCCCCCCAAATCCTACCACATGGCATCTATTTGACATATAGATATCATCTCCTTTTTGCCATCAACATGTATGTTGAGCATCCATTTAAACACCAATTTTAACAGGAAAAAGAAGGTGACATCTTCCCCTGCTGCAGCAAACCTGTGTCTACTGCTTCTGCATGGGGCACCACCACCACTGCTTCTCTGCTCTCCTTGCTGCCAGAGCCACAGAGCCACTGCAGGCAAGGTGCAGGGTGTAAGAGTATGTTGGGGGAGGGGGAAGGAGAGGGACGGGAGGGTGCCTGGGTCTCCTTTCCCACCTATCGTTATGTTACTGTCAAACACCAACTACTTACTCCCCTCTTCTTGCCTAATCAATCCCACTGGGTTCAACTCACCTCTCCCAGCTTTTCATTCACTCTCTCCACTGCACTTCCTCCCTCCCAACACTTCCTGTTAGTCTTCTCACCACTCACCAGTTCCAGCCTCATTGCCACTAGGTCCACTACACCAATTCACCTGCATAATACCCTCCACCCCAGATCCACCTACTGTCTTTCATGCATTTCAAGCAAGTAGTTCCCTTTTCCATAACGTGAAGGGCCAAGAGAGGAATCACTAAAAGCATGAAAGGGGCAGGCTCTCTACTCCTGTGTTAACTGTGGTTTTTCCAAAACTTTCAATTTAGCCAAATCTAGGCAGATATTCATGGAGTTTTTAAAAGCTTTTAAATTACAGAAAGGCCCTCATGCTTGCTCAATTTCAGTTCCCCCTCCAATAAGATCCTAAAGATCCTTAAAAAATATTTTAGCAAAACATGGCAAAAACATATTTTCCTCTGGCATCATTCCCATGATTAACCTTTTCCAAAACAAGTCAGCCCAAGGCTGAAACTCAGCAGGGAACATGTGAGCTCAAATGGTTTGATTTTGGTAAAATTATAAGCAATTGAAGACAAGGTCAATGACAAGGTCAAGGTCTATGACAGACAATCACAACCATGTTTGTCTCTCTTACTTATACTGTAAGTTTTTTTATGTAAAGACAGTATCAACCTCTATATTGGTACAGTGTGCAACACAATAGGATTCTGATCCTGCTTGATACTTCAGAATTGCTGCATTGTAAATATTACAATAATTTCAACCAATTTTCTTATAAATATTTTTGTGTTATATGTTGACTAAGGCCAAGCTATCTTTTTACATCTTTAAATTATGTATTCTGTATATTGGTTCAAATGTTTTCAGCAGATTTGTTCTCCCTTATGCTTTGGGTTTGGTCCCAAGACTCATTTAATGTAGGGCTGTCCAATTTCTAAGTGGCCAAAGCCCACATGCCCCACAGGCCACATTAGCAAATGTTGCACCAGCAGGGACCAGGGGCCCTGGAAGTCAGACAGCCCTGATTTAATGTAAATATTTAAGACTGCTGGTTATTTTTAATATGGTATAAAAGCAAAACTTACAACAGCATTCTCTGCTTCATAGAAAAAACAGTAACGCTCCCTGGTTAACAATAAGCAGCTGAACAAAAATAATTCTAAGATCTTATGTAACTTTCAAACTTACAATCAGGATGTTCTTCATTTTAATTTAGAAATGCTAAAACATGAACCTGTGTTCACATGTCTAAAGACAGGTGCAATTCAGCTTTTAATAGCACATAACAGGCTATTATGCATTTCCATACTCTGGTTACTATATGCTCTCACACAAATAACTAGGAAATAGGACTGACAAACCAATTACAAATACAGTTGGGTTGTCTCATCCACGGTGGGAGAGTACTATGCCAAGGCGGGTTCTACAAGAAAAGCGTGCTAAAATTTGACTGTTTGACAAACCAACAACATTTGCATATCGTAGGCTACACGTTAACTATGTAACATATGGAAACAAACATTGGGTGGAACCAGGCTTATTAACTCCATTCAAAAAGCAAAATTTATTGAACCTGGGTGGCTGGAGTCAGATACAATGCAGCTTGATTTTCATAGGTGCAGATACTTCCCTCTGAAATCAATGTTTAGGTACTCAAATTTCATGTTGGAAATTTCAGCCTTTTTATTTAACTCTATCCATATGGTCCATGCTGCACAGGATAAAAAGATAGCAACCTCTGCTCTAAAAAGAATAACAGTTGTAGAAAATGCTTGCTGTAGGACCATATCACTGGGTGGCTACTGCAATTTCAAAGCTCCCCTTTGTACACCTACATCACCTTTGTAACTCAGAGGCTGGCCAGTTAGCTAGTTGTCCCTCCTCTCAAGGTTCTGTAGGACAGGGCATCCCAAAGGTCTCATCTTCACTGAAAAGCTACGTTGAGTGCTGCCCTAACTTGAGGCCCGTTAACATATAAAACATCTTTAACTTAAAGGTATTGGTGCTCTTAACTCAAAATGCTGGCCTTCAAGAGCCAAGTAAGGATCATATGTCAGCAGCTGAATTCTTAGATTAGTAATACAAACACAGACTAAGGCTACTTAATTGCTACTAGTCATTCAATGCTTTCCCATAGTTCCTCCCAAGATGCCAAACAAAGGCAGACAAGTTCTCTCACACTCATCTGGGAAATAATTAATATGCTGGCTCATTTTCCTGCAGCAAAAAAGAGCCACAGGATTGTGTCCTCAGAAATCTTAGTGCCACCCACTAACCTAGTAGTGCAGTGAGGTAGTCTATCCTAAAAGGAATAACCCAAGTATAGACAACCTGAGTGAACTCTGCAATGAACTTGTATTCCAAATACACCTATAATCCTTTGCCCCAGCACCAGCTTGTGATGCTCCATCTGATGTAGTTTTATCAAGAAATAGATGATAAATAGATATTTATTTGTTATCGTTAGGGAGCAGCTAATCATTTACAGGTTAGGAAGCAAAGACAGATGACATGATTCACATATGGCTGCACCGGAAGAAGACGTAGTTATACAGAGATACTGAACCGTACCAAGTGATGTGTCAGAACCCAGCTGCATTTTGCATGATTCTACCTAAAATGCAGACAGGTCCAGAATCTTAAGTAACACGAAAATAAACAATTTTGCATAATTTGATTTAAGAATAAAAGTTCTTTCTTATTTTTGAGAGTCAGCTTCAACATCATTTTTGGTAGACTGCTCTCATGCTTCCTGATTTGATACTACAAAGGTTAGAAAAGACATTATTGTCCAGAGGTCCAGTTTTTACTAGGTAGAAAAGAGAAATTGAGTAAAAATGACTTACACAAAATTGCCACAGCTGAAATATGTCCCTCTTCATAGTGAGGAAAGAGGATGACTTTGGGAATGAAGACTGTGTTGTAAAGCCAGACAAAGATAATAATGCCCATGCAGCACCAACCCTGAGGGTCAACCACAAAGTGAATCTGCAGCCCCATTGCATATAAATTGAAGACAATCGGTTTCACAAAGGGACAAAAAGACAACCCTAAAGAGGAAAAAAAAAGTGAAAATGTTAATATAAAATCATCATTGTGGTTATCTAAGTGTTACTTAATATTGCTAAAATATTTCCTAGATATTCAGTAGTATAATTGTTAATCATTTCACAATATATAATTTTGGAAACTTTATTAAAAATCAGACCCTTCTCAGTCACACACACACAGCTCATACACAGACCTGAGATATGCACATTTCTTTCTTTTTCTTTTCCTTTGTTTTTGCCTATTCAACCCACCCTATTTCTTCAGACAAATTTCACCCAATCTCTAAAAACTAGATCTCTGCACGCTTCTCTAGAAATCTGTGGGTACTCTACATTATTCACACATTTACTCTTCCATAACCATTAAAGCCGAAAGAGAAAGGAACTACAATTTCATAACATCTTCCACTTGCCATGCTAAGTGCAGCCAGTCAAAATTATTATATGTTGAACAGGTCAATAATCACCAGGAATCCTGGTTCTCTGTGTCTAAAAATAGCAAATTCTCTGATTTACAAAAGCAGAACCCCGCCCCGCAAAATTCTCTATTTACAACTCCCCAAATCCACATTTTTCCATTACTGAAATAAAACACCACTATATATATATATATCAGTTGAACACAATGTTTATTGATATATTTACAAGTATAAAGTGATTTGGAAACCTATTAGTGTCTCAATCACTATAATAAAATACATTCTAAGCATCTATACATTTTGGTGTTTGATTTTGGGCTTATCATGGAAAATCAGAGCTCTCCCTGCCCCCTTCACTTACCAGGATGTGGGTCCAGCTGCAGCTGTTCCCTGCTCCTCCCCACTGCTTTGTTGTGCTGAGCATCCCTCCTATGCTGGTGCCCAACTATGTCATTGCCCCTCACTCCTGACCCACAGCACCCTGTAGCAGGGCACTGTTAAGTGCCTGCCACTTTAAGGGCCTGAGCCAAGCTGCCAGCAGGTGCCTGATTGCAGAGAGGGGAGCAGTGGCCACACAGGGGCTGGGGGAGGAGGCTGGAGCTGTTGCCTGGGGGCACAGGGCTCTGGGCTCTGATCTTAGGCAGGGTGGGAGGGACCACAAGAATTGCTCCTGGGGCAGGCAGGTCCCAGCTGCACCCAGGCAGCTCCAGTTGCAGCCCTGCCCCAGGCACTGGGAGTTGTGAGCCCTGCCAGGGAGGCAGGTGGGAGAGCCCAGCTCTGCTCCCTGTGGCAGGCACTGCACCTGACCGCTCCACACTGGCTCACGGGGCTGGAGCCACTGCCCAGGGGCATGGGGCTCCTGGCTCTGACCCAAGGCAGGGCGGAAGGTGCTAGTGCCGAGTTTGGGATCATATCCTGCCTCCCTCCGCGTCCAGCCATGCACCACTCCCCCCAGTCCCTGGGCTGTGCTGAGCTGTGGTGTAGGCAGGTGATGTGGGCTGCTCCTGGGGCCGCTGCAGCAGGGGTTGGGGTGAGTGTGGACAAGCAGAGCCCCAGGGGCTTGGGGTGCAGCACTGCACAGCTGCAGGCAGCTGGCATCAGCCCTTCCCAGTGCCACTGCAGCAGGGGCTGGCGTGAGCGGGGACAAGCTGCACCGCACCCCATTTCCCCTGGGGCTCCGCTCATTCCCACTCACCCCAGCACCTGCTGCAGTGGTCCCAGGAACAACCGATGCCAGCTGTGGAGGGAGCTATAATGGGAGGCACGTACCTCTGGATCTGTGCGCCAGACGAGAGCAGGCTGCCACCCACCCCAAGCACTGGGAAGAGCTCGGTGCCACCAGCCCCAGCCTGCAGCGGCAGCCTGCTCTTGTCCCATGTGAAGATCCAGGAACGTGCACCCCTGAGGAATAACTCGGCGCAGTCCCACAGCCTGCAGCACCCCCCTGGCAAGAGCTGCGCTCCCCCTGCCCTGCACCCATTGACAGTTCCCTCCACTTTGCTCCTTGCTGCAGCCCCAGAAGCAGCGGACAGGCTGCACTGCACCCCTGCCCCTTCCCTAGTCCCAACCTTACTCACTCCCTCACTGCCACAGGAAAGTATTATTATTTTTCCCAATTTAAACCAATTTTCTCTCTTTTTTTCCTTTTATCCCAATTTCAACACAGGTTTTATGTTTGGAAAATAAACCCTGAAAAATTCCCGGATTCTTTTTTTGAAAATAAAAACTGAAAACGCAGAACACTAGCTATACTAAAGAGAGGATAAGACTCTCCCTGTCCCACAGCTGTCAGTCTCTTCACTTCTAGATAGAAGATTTATTTCTCTTGTCACTGAAAGAGGAGAAGAGGACAATAAATCTGTCAAGCCCAGGTTATAAAATACCTTATTTTCTTTAATCCCATAAAGATAATGTGGGGGGAGCAGCCATATCTTTTCCTGCAACTCTGGGGTTGCAATACCCAAACTTACTTTCCAGCTGAATGCGCCCACTTTCTTGTTCTATCGTTAGTGTTAATACATCCAAGCTTGCACTACTGATATGACAGTTCTTTTTGGTCTTCTGTCAGCCCAGTTTCTGTAACATCCTCTCAGTTCTATAATATTTCTAAAGCCAACACTCTTCACTCCCATCTCACTGTAAAACTGCACTTCCACCAGCAAAATTCAGACCAGGAATTCTCCCTCATCAGTGTTAACTACCATAGAAATATTTTGTGCAACACTGTGACAGATTAAGGGTGGCAAAAGCACATCCAATCATTACATTACCACTCCCACTGTTGCCACCATCCCAGCTATTAAATATTAATTGAACTGAATTTGCTTCTTGTAGACAAACCCTAGAATCTTGGCCAAGCTGAAGTCACCTCACTTCAACTCCTATCACTGTCTTTCCTGGCCCTCTAATTCCCAACTTCCCTTCCCTTCCTTCCTGAGTTCAGTGGCCCCAACTGGCTTTCTTTTACCATCACTTCCCTAATCAAATGTACTCACTGTTAAGTCATCAATTCAAGCTTTGGCTTCTCACTATCAAGGCAATGCACCAATCTTGTTTTCTTCCTCCTCCCATTGCATTCTCACTACTCCCACTCTTGCTTACTTCACATCTCCCAAATTTCTCCCTCCTCCCTGTCCATCTCTGCATCTTTTTCTATGAGGATCCATACAGTGAGCATTCCTATAAGTGACCTCCCTCTCTTTCATATTACTTTAAAGCTCATACGTCATGTTTATCAACTTCAATTGAAGTATTTCCAATTTAAAGCTAACACAAATCTATGAAGAGATGTTTACCTTTAAAAGGCAAAAAAATCAATGCATTCCTGTTGCTGTATAAATCAGGGACATCCAAATTCTTAGTGGCCAGGAGCCACAAGGACTGCACCAGCACGTTCACACTAGTGAGAGTCCTGGACCCCGAAGCCACATCCTCCTCACTACAGCACACGTGGGTGGCCACTGTACCACATGCATGGGTGGTGTCCTGCTCCACCTCACCAACCTGTGTCGTGTAAGCACACAGCCTAACCTCAGCTTCCTTGCTGCACTGCTGTGTGGGGTCTCCAGGTACTGTGGGCTATGCTGCCCTGTCCCCTGGGGAAAGAACAAGAAGTGAAAGTTAGGGAGGTTTGGGGAGTCTAGAGATGTGGCTGCAACAGCAGCCAGAGCAATAAGGGGAGAGGCAGCTGGGTAGGAGCCCGAGGACTGCACACTAACCTCTCATTGACGCCAGGCGACCAGTTGGACAGCCCATGTCTGAATCAAGAATAGCTGAGAATTCTTGATTATCTTACTCTTCTTTTTCAATTCTGGTACAGTAAGGGTGAGGATAGGGGGATAGTTGTATGGACCTTTTTTACTCCCTTCCTTTTAGACATACTGCTTGCTACTTATTTGTTTCCTCCTCTTCTTTGCAGAGAAACTGTCTTCTGAGCTCATGTGCTGAGATGATAGCATACTAGTTACCAGCTTTTGTGTATATGCCAGTAAGACTGCAAAAAAAATAAAAATAAATAAATAAAAAAAATTACTGATCCTTAGGGAATCCATTTAAGTTTTCATTCATACCACAAGAGAACAGCAGAGACTCTGTCACTAAGGAGAGTATCCCCAGAATGGATGCAGCCCAACAAACAAGAAATATAGAAAGATAACAGAGATGGAACGGCTGTTCCTAAGTGGCCCATCTAGTACAGGGCACGACAACAGTCAGAGATGCTTTGGAGAAAACAGCATGAATTCCCATCATGGAAAATTTATTTCAAACCCTCTAAATCCAGTCACAATTTAATTAGGCTCTGCCATATACACGTGTATGTGAATGTATATGCATGCCAACACTTTTCACGTTATGTAGGGTAAAAATATAACTGCCATTTATCCAAAATTAATATAAGCCTGCTGAGTTCTTTGGAGAAAATGATATTTTGGGGCAACGAATACCACATTTAGTTAGGAATTGTGTAAAAAGTATTTCCCAAAAGTGAAAGACAATATATACTACTTTCATTTGCTATTTTATTTTTTTCCAATATGAGCTTGATTTTCCTTCTTTGCACCATACATTATTATCGCTTCCCAGCCTTCTGAAGGCTCAGGACCTTCCTGGAGCAGTTCCTGAAGGACACCGTCCGAAACAAGTACACCAGCGACCCGAGGGCCAAACCCAACCAGGGCAAGGTCTTTGACATCACCTCGAAGTGGGACTCCAGCAACCACTTCGTGCCCAGCGGGCACTTCATGGACTGGCACTTCCTCCACTGCACCCGCCTCAACTGCCTGCCTCTGAACAGAGCCGACCGTTTCGGCCACCAGGACAAGAAGTGCCGACAGTGAGGGTCCGTGGCAGAGACCCTCCCCCACACGCTGTGCAGCTGCAGGCCACATGCCAGAGCCTGGCAGCTCCGCCACAACGCTGTCCAGAACCGCCTGGTGAGGGCCATCCCAGCCGCAGTGGGGGAAATCTCCGTGAACTGCACCGTCCCGGGCCGTGAGAGCCAGATGCACCCTGATGTTGTGATCATGAATGAAGAGGCCAAGAAGATCATGATCATGGATGTGACCATCCCCTTTGAGAACCAGTGCCAAGCCTTCACCGACGCTCGGGCTCACAAGTGGGAGAAGTACGCCCCACTGGCCGACATCCTGAGGGGCCGTGGCTACGACGTGACGGTCAACGCGTTCATCATGGGAATGCTCGGAGCCTGGGACCCCAGCAACGAGAGCTTCCTGCGTGCCTGCCACGTCTCCTGCCACTATGCTGCCTCATGGTGCCTGACACAATCCGCTGGTCCCGTGACATCTACATGGAGCACATCACAGGCCACTGCCGGTACTATGACCCCACCAGACTGACCACTGCTGGACCGGACTCAGAGGGGACCGCCTAACCCCCCCCAATGCACCTGATGGGCTCCACTTCAAGAGGAATCTTCAGCAATGGACCACCCCGCTCCACCCAGAGGACCCCCACGATGAGACTCTGTATGGACTGAGAAACTTTCAATCGACCTACTTCCTCCACCACTGCAGACCATTGTACGGGTTTGTGTGCATCTATCTCCTTTCTCTCTCAGCGTCGGGAACCACCTCCTCCCCTCCCCTCCCTGACCCCCGGGGTTAGTTGGCTAACATTGTATTTTTTGTAACCTAGTTGCGTTCCCTTCCCCACCCCTATCCCTCTAATGTTAGTCACTCATTCGGGGGATTTGTATTTCCCTACTGGCTTTGTCATCTTTTTGGATTCACAATCCTAAACATCTACTAATAAAATTCAATCTGACCCAGATTCTTTTGTACTGATCTGCAGCTAAACAAAATTCATTCCTATGTTTTCAGCTTTATTTCATATGAAACTCTCTCCAAGTGTCAAATATTCTCCACTCTCTTTGAATCCTTTTTGTTTGCTATATGTTTTGAGACAAGACACAGAAACAGATGCAGTAAGAACATTACCATGACCCTATAATAGCCAAAGTGTTTTATCTACCCTATTTTTCACACACCCTAAATTTCTGGGTTTTTAACCACAGCTTCACATTGACCAGAAGTATCCATGAAGCTATTTATAATAATATCCAGACTTTTTCCTTCAGCAGTAATAGTTACTTAAGACATCAGAAATCAGTATTTGTTTAAATTATTTTTTATTTTAAAGATGTAGTGCTTTGTAACTGTAACGTGTTTGTGTGTGTGTGTGTGTGTGTGTGTGTGTGTGTGTGTGAGTGTGTGTGAGTGTGAGTGTGAGTGTGAGAGAGAGAGAGGGCAATTCATGTACTTTGTTACGGTGGACATAAATCATCTAAATCAGTGGTGCTCAACCTGCAGGCCAAATTTGTTGGAACTGGAAGTTGTGGCAATTAATGCTGACACCACTCCTTGGCTGTTAAATTTGTGGACCGACTAGGAGCCCTACAAGACAGATAACACGATCTAGCACACCATGGCTGGAGCCAGCATGCGCCTGGTTGCTCCGCAGGCAGACCCAGCATGCTGACCCCAATGCTGGCTCTGGCCAAGAACCAAAACTTCCCACATGACACGACTCACAGACTGGCCCCATGCCACTCATCTGGCCCACCAGGTTAGATGGCTGATGATATCACTGAGGCCAGCAGTGTTCAATTTGCAGATGTTGGTGAAGACAAATGGTAAACTACAGTTATTACAATGAAACAAAACTAAAAAGCATCCTTTCTAGTTAAAGGAACTTATTTTTGCAGAATTTCCTTATAAAGGCACTTAAACAACTTAGTTGCTTCACAAAAAGTATGCTATACTTACATATTTGTGTCAACTTGAATTTTAAGACACTTGTTCAATAACATGCTAATTTTAATGATAAAGTAATTCTATATTTTCCTCCTCATTCCTGTTAGCAACACTGTATAACCAAGACAAGGGAGCAAGCAGAATTGTTTTCAGCTTGTGTATCATTAACAGAATTAATCTGATCAGAAAAACAGTTTTTAAATACACCAATGATGATCCATGAATGCAAAAAAAAACACCCAGACCAAAGAAAACATAGACATCTTGCAATTAAAAATTCATTTTATAAGTAGTTTGAGGAAAATGTATATGGATGATGTGCAGAGGTATGTGGATCATCACAATGGTCCCTATGGAAAACATCAGAAATTAGTTCCAAGCAAAGTGATCACAAAAAGTTGGAAGCTGACTTTCTATATCAGTAAGCTGCAAAGAAGCACTCAACTGGACAAAATGTACGGCTTCCTAAAATTGGTATTAGATGTTTTATATTACATTCTTAATTTCTTGCATTTTAGCAAAAGAATCGGTAACATTTCTCCAAATAACCACCTTGAGCACAAAAAGTTTGAAAGGAAGCAGTTGAAATTTTTACTGAGGAAACCATTAGCTGCAACCACTGCACATTGTAAACCTGCCAGGAAGAGCTGACTTAAGAGCTGACTTTTCACCTCTATCAAAAAAGTTCCTTATCTCTTTAACACGCTGCATGACTAAGGTTTACATAAACATGAAGAAAATCATTCCAACCCGCCCTTTCCTGCCCACTTCAACTAATGATGCCATAAATCCAGTATCTGTCTTTTATAATTATAGACAACATGAATTGTGATGTTATGAACACTGGGTTACAGGATCACCAGATGCCTCAGGCAGGCAAGAAGAAAGTTGCTTGGGG